AGTGAGAGAGAGAGAGAGAGAGAGAGAGAGAGAGCGCGAGAGTGAGAGTGAGATTTTCGGTTATACTTGCGTATCATATTCAAAATAAAGGTGAAACAGGAGAGAAGGAGGGCGTTGAACAAAAACCATTCCAAGGCGTTTAAAAAACGTCTTTGATTCTTGAAACGGCGCCGTTTCAATTACAGAAAAATAAAACGTTTATAAAACACCGTTAAATATTAGAAACAATGGCGTTTTAAAAACGCCATTAAAAAAACGCCACCTAACCCCATATTTCCTGTAGTGTGTTACAAACTCATAAAATTTATTCAGAAAATTATTCAAAAAAAAAAAAAAATCAAAAGTCCAGATTTATTTTGGGTATGACTCACATTTCACTAATTTTAAATTTACATTATACAATCACTTTTGAGATAAAAAATTCGAGATAAATTTTCATTGTTGATAGCACTTTTTGAGTTTCTAATTGGATCATGTGTAAACTATTCAATGTTCAACTCACGAAAAATTTGAAAAGCAATTAAACATGTTAGGAATCTTCATTGGAATAAATCATTCTTGTAAGGACTAATTATATTTTGAGGACCACCGTATCTCATTGAAATATTTTATCAAACATTTTATTTATTTTTAATATAATTTCTAATGTAACTTGGCAAGTTATATATATATATTAAATGTAGTAGATCTTGCACATGTATACAATTTTTATTTTATATTAATATACGTGGGACGTGAAATAGGTCTCATATCTCTAGTTTTTTGGTTTTTAAATTAGGCAAATACAATTAGGGTCTTTGAGTTAATAGTTGTGTAACACTATTTTGTTGTATAAGGTTGCAGGTTCAACCTCCATGGGGGAGGAGTTTGATTTTTTTTTTTTTTGGTATTTATTTCTTTTATATTATAGAGATTGTACATAGCTAGTGTTGTTAAATTATTGATCTATTTTGATGCAATATTTTTAATATTTGTTATTATTGTTCAATCTATTGCCAAAAAAAGATAAAATAAAATAAAGGAAAATGAGTTAGACCCCCCTCAAGGAGGCACCCCCTTTGACCCCCTCTCTCTCTCATTGTCCAATTTTTTTTTTTTTTTTCTTTTTTTCCTTCTCCTCCAATCACCACCTGCCACATGTGTGGGGTGGTGATTGGAGGGGGTCTCAATCACTTCATTAATGCCCGTTGGACATTTGTTAAGATGCATTTAATGTCATATTAATTTATAATTAGTGAATTATTAATTTCAGCATATTCACTAGGCCTCGTTTGGGAACAGGCTAATTTAGTAACTTTTTGGCTATTTGGCTAAAAAGGTAGGTAAAAAAAACTTGTATGTTTGGGATGACTTTTTGGCTAATTACGAAAAGATGTGCAAAAAGTAGAGAGAAAAGAGAATCTTTGACTTTTTGGTATGGGTTGTTGGCTTTTTGGCTAATTGACTAAAATAGCCTCTTGCCAAACGAGGTATTTAACTTTTTTTTAGTAAATTTCAATTTTATTTACAACTATTTTGTAATTGGAGGCGGATCTCCTTCAGTCCAAAAACTTGACTGGAGGACGTTGTTTGGACCCGTGAAGCTCACTAAAAAAACCACATTTCAATGATCTAAAAATCATTTAGTTTGTCGAGCATGTCGTGTATTTATTCACAAAAATTAGATCGATCCGATAATTATAACATATTCAATTTACCAGGTTTTTCACCAAAAAAAATAGACTATAATTGTGTTTTTTAAAAATAAACCATACATTTTTTTGGTGACAAATGCAATAAATTGAATAGATTATAGTTATTAGGTTGATCCTTCTTTTTTTTTGTATGAATGAAATACACGACGTGCTCGACAAAATGAACGATTTGGATTATCGAAACGAGGCCTGTGAGGCCCAAACAACGCCTTCTCGTCTATATTTTGGACTGGAAAAGATCTGCCTACTTTACAATTAGGATCTTACTAACAAGCGCTCTGTATTAAAGTGTAATTATGTAATTAGTGTGGGTATTGATTTTTGACCACACAACCAAACAGGGAACTTAGCTGGAGAGCACGTGGCAGAATAGATTAAGCCAGCACCTTTGTACAAGAAGACAAGAAATACCGTGGTGGTTCGTCCACCCGAGAGCACTTCGACGATCAAGCCAGTCAACTTATCTCTCAAAGATATCAAATAAGTACTCAATGAACAAGTCAAAGCATCACAAATAAAAGCATACCTTAGACCCACGAGGGTGCCTCACATTTATAATGGTCAATGTCTAACTTCCCTCAGAAGTCTCACTTCATGGGACTCTATCCTTTACACTATTCAGATTAAGATGAACTTCCTCAAGAGTCTTATCTCTATTCAAATAGGTAGCTTGATGTCATCTAAAACTCTTGTTCCCTATCTAAATATTTCGGATTCAGATATGATCACATCATATCTCAGCAACTTGGTCCATTCACGTGGAATCTAAGCTAACAACCTCGGCCACGTGGACAACCCAAAAAATTTATCCTCACAACTACCGCCTTGGTTCTATTACCTCGACAACCTGAGGTGATAGAACTTATATCGTTTGATCTTCCAACATTTTAGCTAAACAACATGCTAGAGATATTTCTTTGATCGAGATTATGACTCATTGGCTTCATGAAATGAGGACTCAAATGTCCACTCGTTACAAACCAAGAACCAAGAACCAAGAATCAAGAATCAAGATGATCCTTCTCGTCCTCCTTACTAGATGTTGGTCATCTATTCTATACTTTCCCACAGATTGTGCCAAATTGTGGGTGTTGATTTTTTACTACACAACCAAATAAGGAACTTAGCTGGAGAGCACGTGGTAAAATAAATTAAGCAGCACCTGTGCACAAGAAGACAAGAAATACCGCGGTAATTCGTCCACCCGAGGGCACTCCGACGATCAAGTCAGTCAACTTATCTCTCAAAGATATTAAGTAAGTACTCAATACACAAGTTAAAGCATCACAAATAAAAGTATATCTTAGACCCACGGGAGTGCTTCACATGTATAATGGTCAGTGTCCAACTTCCCCTAGAAGTTCATGAGACTCTATTCTTTACAAGGATAACATCTATCATAACTCACACTATTCATATTAAGATAAACTTGCTCAAGAGTCTCATCTCTATCCAAATAAGTAGCTTGATGTCATCTAAAACTCTTGTCCTCTATCCGAATATCTTGGATTCAGATATGATCACATCATATCTTGGCAACTTGGTCCATTCACGTAGAATCTAGGCTAACAATCTCGATCATGTGAACAACCCAAAAAATATACCCCCACAATTAAATTTATTGGAATGTGTTGAAAAAAACTCATCATTCATTATTTATCATCACAATTTTTTAATGCTAATCATAAATGCTTACAATATCTTTTTAATGACTTTTTAACCTTGACTTTTTTGTAAAAATTCAATCGTTTCTGTTGGGAGTAAGAACCGACCCTTGAATTTTTTTATTTCATTTTGTAATTCATTTTCCTTTGTTTATTTTCCTATTATACTTCAGCAAAATCAATGTTTCAAAACTTAACATTTTCCAACAAAATTATTTGGTCACCGAAGAGTGATCATAAAAATATCACCGTTATTTGGCAACTAAATTTTCTTTTGTAGGCAAAAACTATCATACGACGACCAAAAAAATAAAATAAAATAGTCACCTAAAATATAGACTAACGGCGACAAATACATTTTTTTTAGCAAAAAATGTCACTTTTGGCGACTAAAAAAAAATTTAGTTGCCAATAACTAATATATCTCAACTAAAAAAATTTAATAGCCATATCCTAAACCAATGCCAACTAATGCATTTTTTAATCACCAAAAGTGACATTTTTGGTGACTAAATTCATTTTAGTCGCCAAATTTGATCACTTAAAGTGTAAATTCTTGTAGTGAACGAATGCGGCCTAGGTGGTAAAACTGATGGAAGAAGCAACGGGGGGACAAATGCCCCTTCAGAAACTTAGTGGCAGATGCCAAAATATTTTTCAAATGATTTGAATGCACTATTCAACACATTTGGAAAGAAGACAACTTACATTCGGACGCCCTGATGCAGAACAACCTGAAGAAAAATTGGTGGTGAATGAACCACCAGCTAAAATTAGAAGCTTATTAGTTAAAGGCACGATAATACTTTCTAGTGAATGGCCTTAGCTCTTTGTTGTAGTTTTCTTTCCAATGTAACACCACACACGCACACACAAAAGGAAAAAAAACTAAAAACTATTAATGCCAATCTTAATAAGTGCATTAAGATTATTGGATCGGCTAATTTATTTATTTATTTATTTTTTTTTTTTTTTTTTTTTTTTTTTTTTTTTTTTTTTTTTTTTTTTTTGTTGTTGCATTAGTCAGACATTTCATGTAATTCATAAAAATTAAAATTAAAATTAAGTCGATTCAATAATCGTTATCTATTTAATTTATTGTATTTGTTACCAAGAAAATGAAAGATAATTGTATTTTTAAAAATAAACTATCTATTTATTTTGTGACAAATATGATAAATTGAATATGATACAATTATCGAATTAACCTAATTATTTGTGTAAACAAAAGACATAAAATATCTAATAAAATAAACAATTTAAATCATAAAAACGAGACCTATAATAAACTGGAATAGTCCAAACAACGTTCTCCAATTTAGAATATAAACGGGAGAAAATCTGTCTTCTTCCCAAAATACCTCCAATACGATAATTGTAATTGCTTCATAAGTCTCTCTAAAATGATAAAATAATCATTTTAAATTACACACATATGGAGAGATTTAGGGAGTACAAGCATTTAGGGGGATGAATTTAGGAAGTGCAAGTACTTAAGTGCTTTTTCAAGGGTGGAGAAATTTTTACCCATAATTATTAATCTAACAACTAGCAATTAACATTAGCCGATAAATAAAAAAATAAAAAAATACACACATGTGCGTACTCACATCTAAGTCTCTCTATATATATGAGGACAAACCATACTTTTCCATTCAAACCAAACCATGGAAGCTTCAACATTGAGAAATACATTCATCTTCTCTCTCCTTTCCATCTTCTCCATCTCCAGCTCCACCACCACAAGCCACAGCCACCACCACCACCCACTAGACCCTCTAACTCCCCAAGAGTTCACCCTAGTCCAAACCATCATCACAAATTCATACCACAACTCAAACCCTAATAACCTAACTTTCCAATATGTAGGGTTAGATGAGCCAAACAAACCAACCCTCCTCTCATGGCTCTCCACCCTCAAAACCACCACACCACCACCGCGACGAGCCTTTGTCATAACCCGATTAAACAAACAAACCCATGAAATCACTGTCGATTTGTCGACTAGTTCCATCATCTCCGATCACATTTACTCTGGCCATGGCTACCCTTTATTCACACTTGAGGAACAAACAACTGCATCTGAGCTTCCAATGACTTACCCACCATTTTTGGAGTCTGTGAAGAAAAGAGGGCTCAATCTATCTGATGTTGTTTGTTCTACTTACAGTGTGGGGTGGTATGGAGAAGAAAAGAGTGCTAGGGTTTTGAGGATTTTGTGTTTTTATACAGAGGGGACTGTGAATTTGTATGTGAGGCCAGTGGAGGGAGTTACATTGGTGGTTGATTTAGATGAAATGAAGATCACTCAGTATTCTGATAGGTTTACTGTTCCGATGGCAAAAGCTGGAGGGACGGAGTATCGGGCAGCGAAGCAGAAGCCGCCGTTTGGGCCAAAGCTGAAGGGTGTCGCAACCGTGCAGCCGGACGGGTCAGGTATTGAGATTGCTGGACACACTATCAGGTCAGTCTAGCTTACCTGAAAAATTTTACCTATAAAAATTTTAATCATAGAATCAGACATTGTGGAATAGAAAGATGTACCTATAAATTTGAGTTTAAAATGTTAAGATTGAACACATTAGTATTGGTTAATACCACACATAAATATATTTGAGCAAATTACGACGGTAGTTTATATATTTTGGTTATTGCGTCTTTTTGGTCTTTGTAATTTTAATTGACTCAATTTTTACATTGAATTTATTATTTTTTCTGAATTTGATCTAATTGATTACAATTCTTAGTATTTTTTTTTAATGAAAAATACTCACGTAAGTGTTGTATGTCATATTTTTAAGGGTAAAATTATAAATTTACTCAACTTATTGAGTTAACCTTAACTAATTTAGTGATAATTTTCAATAAAAAAATATTAACGATATTATCAATTGGATCAAATTGATACAGAATTAAAAATTAAGGATCAAAATTAAGTCAATTGAAAATGTAGGAATTAAAATAAAATATGAAGTAAAATATAGACGTCACCAGTGTAATTTACCTAATATATTTTTGTCAATTTTTAAACAATAATCCTATACAAACTAATAATTTTTAATTTTTTTTTTACTTATTATTATGACATCTATCGTATTATTGAAGTGTATTTTGTTCATATGTGGCATTTGTATGTATTTTTTGCTTCCTCGTTTGTGGCACTACGATTAAGTTTATATATATAAAAAAAAATCACGTGAAAATATTAAAAATATATTGTAACTTCAATCGTTCAGAAAAAAAGTAATTATTCACTATTTCATGAAACATTATCGTGGTCATATTATAATGGATGATTAATATTGTTTTGGGCATTGTTAGCTGTGAATAAATTTTTTTAGAACACATTTCTATTAATTTATTGGTTTAAAATAAGTTCACAAAGAAATTAGTGTCGTTTAGCAAATTTTAATAAACCACGTAATTTTTACTTATGTAAAAATGTAGCCTAATTAAAGTCTCTGAAGCCTTGTTTATTTTTAGAGGGAGGTCTTGAGACTGGACTATTAGTGTGTTGGAATTGCTAATACTATGTTTGTTTTTTCAAGAATTATAGCAATGGACTTATAATCCGAACACCTTAGGATGGACCTCTCACTATGGGATTACTCCTGAGGTAGGGGAGAAGGTATTATTAGGAAATGAAGATCTTGAAATTACATGTAAAATGACCATATTGCCTTTATTCAAATTCTTTTGTTGCCCTGGCTATCTCATTCTTTTCTTTACAAGTTTGCAAGAAGAGCAGGTGTTCCATCAAGCGAGCTCAACCAGGACGACTACGAAATAAAATAACTTAATATAAAAATAAATTTTATTATTAAAATATAATAGTATGATAAAAAAAAATATAGTACAAAAAATATATATATTTATGAAATATAATTTTTAATATTAAAATATATCAAAAATACCAAGGGTATTTATAAAATTTCATATATTTAATCTCATCCTAGAATGATAAAACAAATATTAATTCTTATTAATTCAGTGGTTATCAAACAAACACAATTTTTCTCCCTCACTAACAATTCCACTTAACCTAACTCTAAAATCAAACGGGTCTGAGCACCAACCAAAGGACTACGGATAGCATATGGAATTTATATCAAAATATAAGAAATTATTCAATGGGAAATTTCATTGCATTGCACATTTAAAAAATATATATATAAATAAATGGTAAACTTTATATATATTAATAAATATAATCACAAACTTTTTCATGAATAAGTAGTAATTTTTTGATAGTACAACGGAAGGATAATTTCTCCTTATTCAACCATATAAGAAAATAAAAAATAAAAAATAATAATAATAGAAAATTTTAAAATAATTTATATGTAAAGAATTTTGATCTCACTAAAATAACCTGATAATAACATTTTTGTAATTGAAATTTTTGGTATACATATTTTGATTTAAAATGAAAAATTATAATCCAGCTTGATCATTATGATGTATTTATGTATATTTTTGTAACTGCATAATATAAATGGCTTTGTGAGGTAAATTAATTCCTGTATAGCAAAAAAACGATATGATATTGATATATCTTTGAATCATAATGTTGGGTCAGTTTTAGAGGGAAAGTGTATGGGTGGTATAGTGTGCCTCATTTAATGAATCAAAATAAATAAATAAATAAAAATGGACGAAAAACATGTGGATATATGACCCTGTTGGGTAGAGTTGTGAGAAAATGATTAGCTTATACCTTAACAGTTTATAATTTATAACTGTGAACATAACCTGATTTTTGATTTATAAATTAAGTTTCTCTTCTCCTATTCAAAGAATAAGTTAATTTTTTACTTATAAAAAGGTATAAACTGTATTGTTAAGCTGAACTAAACATTTTAAAATAACTTAAATTATATTAAAAATTAAAATAAACTGAAAATAAACCCTATCAAATAGGGCCTACAAAATTTTCCTAAAAGTGATAACATAATGATTTTTTTGTCGGTAAGTCCAGATGCATGATGGTTATGCATGAGCACGGTTGGATCTATAATTATATTTTATTTAAGATAAAATATTAGCTAAAGTCATTACACGAAATGTTGTTTTGATAGACAATGGTAGAGAAGGTAAGATGCTGTTTAGTAATACCTACATTTTCAATTTTTTATTTATATTTATAAAAATTTTAAAAATTTAAATAAAAATTTGTTTGATAAAAATTTTGATTTATAAATCAGTGATCTCAGTTTATAAATTTGGCCAAAAAATGAAAACACAAAAAATGTGTTTCCGTTTTGAATTTTCATTTTTTTTTACCACCCAATATTAGCCACCACCCGTCACCATTTTCTACCACCGTCTTCTGCCACCACCCCCCACCCCCCACCACTCACCAGCACCACCACTCACCACCCACCTATCACCACCAACCACCACCCGCCACCACCCACCACCACCTATCCACCACCCGCCATCACCACCAGCCACCTGTCTCTATCTTCATCCATCTCTTCCTTCTCACAAACCAACAATCGACCCTCTTTCTGTCCATCTTCATTTTGATCATCATCACCACCAACGTCGATCGTCTTCATACCAGTCGGCTATCTCTCTCTCTCTTTGATTTCGATCACCACCACTAACCTGATCGCCGATTGTCGAGTTCAACGGAACACCAATGTTTGGACTTCAATGAAGCTCGATCGATTTGGGAACGAGCCCTAAAAGTCAATGAAGAACAAGCCACAAAGGTTGATGGAGGTTGAGATAAAGAACAAGTTCACCAATCATGCTGGAATCCAGGTATTTATCTTCTAAATT